TGTGCCATTTGTGGCACACGTGCTGCAGGGTAGCCTCCCCTGCCCAAAACAGACAAGGGAGCAAGGGTGAGGGGCTTTGCTCCTGGCCCCTTGGGGCATCTGCTTGAGGGAACCCGGTCCTTCCAGGGTAATGGAGCAAGTTAATGCAGCTCAGTGAGCAGAAGTTTAGTCCTGTGGCTGGTGGACTAAAGGCAAAGGACTTCACAAAGCAGGTCTGAGCTATGCAGGCACTGGAGATACCATCTCCAGGCAGGTGCTTAGCAAACCTGGAGGAGGTTCAGTCTGAGCTGTGCATGAAAAGGGGCCTGGCTGATGAAACATCCCATATTCTCCCAGGGGAATCGGTGTGATTTGAGTGCCTTTGCACCAGGGTCTCCGACCCCCAGCACTTTAATAAAGCATGGAAGGAGTGATAGTCCTCAAAGGAGCCTGAGGAGAACATGGGGAGGAGATGGTCTTGCCCATGTCTGGAGAGGCAGGAACCCAGTGCTATGTCTGGAGAGGCAGGAACCCCAGCTGCAGACTCTCATTCAGGATGGGGAGAGCCCTGGTGATGCTGGTGGCAGCCAGATGGGATTCAGTGGAACCCATTAAAAGAACAAAGGGATCTAAGCCCAGCATTGTCTGCATAGACAGGCCACCAAGCAGCTCCTGCATGAGGCCACTAGCAGCCCAGGTTGGGCTACAGCCAGCGCCCCATAGGCAACATGACATAAAGTGTGTTATGGCTCCCCTGAGCCACCCAGTCCCTCTTCCATGCCATCCTATCTGCCCCCAGCCGTGCCAGGTTCTTGCCATGGCCTGTCTCTCCTGGACCTGTCTGTCTGTGTCTGTCTATGCTGTAATTCAATTAAAAGCCAAGCCAGGTTCCCACAGAGGCCAAGGCAGGGCTGAGCCTGTGGTTTGTTGTCTCATATCCTCTGCTGAGGTATTTTAATTACAATGACCTTCCTGCTTCCTCCACCCCTCTCACTTGCACAAGACACCTTGAGGTCTGGTACTAGTTCTTTCCCGTGGCTTCTTTAAATCTTGGGTCTCCACTGTGGGAACAGGGAGAAAAATCACTCTGTGAGCATCCCCCCTCCTCATCTGATCTCCCCACCAGTACTGCTCTGCTCTGCCTGCCTGCAGCTGCAGCGTCCCTGAGAATAGTCTGAGAGGGATGTGTTGCCCAGAGCATATCTACTAACACCCCCTGGCCTTTTTTAGCCCTCCAAGCATCTTCCTCTCATAAAAGGATGGCCTCCTAGTTCAGCCTCCTTTGCTTAGATTGCTCCTGTCTGGCCCCCAGATCCATTTGTAACGCATGGTGCCACAGCACTGAAGTCTCCAGGGAGCCCTTCAATTCAAGGAGATCGGCTTTACAGATGGGGAAAACCAAGGCATGGAGAAGCCACGTGACTTAGCCAAAGTTATTCAGGGAGTCTGTGGCACAGCAGGGTCTTGAACCCACCTCTTCTCTGGCCAAAGCTAGTGTCTAAATTCCAGGATGTCCCTTCTGCAGTGCTTCTAGGAGAAACGCTGCTTCTCCTGCAGTCCCACGGAAGTCACCAGCAAGACCCTCTGGTCACTCCCTTGAGTATCCCAACTGCACACCCAGAGCAGAGCTCTGGAGAGGGGGCTCTGGATCAGGGGAAAGGCTGTGTTTTGCACTACTAACATCCCAGCCTGTTCTCTGCCATGGGGGGCAGTTATTAAC